TGCTAAAACTGCTTTAAATACATTCGTTGCAGGATATACGGGAACACTGAAAAATAATATGCATTAAAAAAAGCCAGAGTCGCTAGAAGAAGCTGTTGCTTATGTTTCTGAATTTGAAAATTCCTATATGAATCGAAATGCTAATAATATGAATCCTAATTATGATTTTTATAAATCAAATTTTCATCAAAATAAACAAAGACCAAATTATTTTTCAAATAATTATCCCAGAAATAATTTTGAAAATTCCCATTACAGAAATCAAAATTATTATCAAAGAAATTTTAATCAAAATCCAGTAAATAATCAATACAAAGCAAATTTTGATAATTTTCCTTGTCAACCTATAAATGTACAACCAATGCCACAATTAAAAAAAAAATATTTTACTAATCAACAAGTTTTTGGACCATTAAGACCAAAAAATGTTTTCAAACCCTATCAAATTCCAGAAAGCCAATTGTCTAAACCAGAACCGATGTCAACGACATCAAGAAACCCTTCTTTCCAATCAAAAAGACAATTTTATGATAACAGAAATTTCCAAAATTATAATTCAAGACCCAATTTTACTTTTGAAGAATTACATTCTAATTTTTGCAATGATACCAATTTAAATAAGCATGATTATAATCAAACTAATTTTGAAAATCCTAATCAAATTAAATTTAAAAATGAATCAATTAAAAACGGTGACTTTGAACAAAATTTTCAGCTACCAGCCTCATTGAAAACAAAAAGATAGTAGAATTGCATAATATTTCAAACAATACATCCCTATATAGAAATACGCGAACCCAAGCTCAAACTGCTAATTGATACGGCATCTTGTAGGTCAATAATAAAACCTTCAGTAATAAAAAAATATTTTCCGCAAACAATTTACCATTCAGAACTTATCTTATTAACCAGCATAGGGAGTAGACGGATCGACTACCAGGCCTTAGTGCCAGCGTTTGCAGAGTTTAATTCTGATAATAAATACATAGACTTTATTGTTTACGATTTTTATACATAATAATGATAATAATTTAAAAAATAATTTAGTAGTGGAGGATGCAACTCCAAATAAAGATCCTCCAAATAATGCAACTCCAAATATAGTGGATGAACTTAATACTTTAGAAACAGAATATTTAGATAAAAATATAGATGTTATTGACGAAATAGTTCAACCTCTTAAGGATTCTCCGAATCAACTAGTCTTTCCTAAATTATGTCGAAAAATAGATATTTGATAAAGATCAATTATACAAATTAAATGTCATGCCAAATGATACAGAGTTTTCTAAAATAAATCCGTATATTCAAAAAGAATTTATATTATTAAATAAAAATATTGAAAATAGAATAAATACAAAATATAAAATATAAATACAAAAATTAAACAAAGAATTTTTATTACCTATTAATAAAATAAGGACCAAAATGAAAAAACCAGGAATATACAAATGTAATAGAAAAAGAATAAAATTTAAATGTTTTTCAAACTTTAAGAGAAATGGAACAAAATTCAAAACTACTACTAGTTAGTTTTAAAAATAAACCTAGTTTTATTTAAAACATACTCATATATTTTAAATTTAAATTTTATTAAAATAAAAATATATCTCAAATTATTCTTTGGATTGATAGGATATTACTAAAAAAATGTATTAAGTAAAAATTAAAAAAAAAATAACTACTTTAAAAAAAAATTAAAAATAGAACATAATGAAGAATTTACAAAATGCTTTAATAAATTTCAAAATATACTGATCTTTGAATTTTTAAAAAATCAAATATATTTTACTTTTTAGTGCAAATGAAATAAAATAAAATGAAATGAAATAGTTCTGCAAGTATTAAATCGAGTTTATTCCAAACCTAGATCAAATAGATATATCGGAAATATTAGCAGAATACAAACATTTCACAACAGATCGATTAATTAAAAATTCTATATGTTGTTATAATAATAGTATATATTTAGTGACAATGGCGTGAACTTCCATTTGAAATAAGTCCTTTAATTATTTCAATATTGATATTATCACATTGATAATACAAATTCCTTTGACTTAGACGATCACTTAATAATTTCTAATTATGTACAAGATCATAAACAAATTAGTAAACATATGTATAACAAAATTAAACAACGTAATGAAGAAGTAAAAGAGAATTTAATAAACAAATTAAATGAAAAGAGATTTGAACCAGATAACTATTCTAAACAAAAGTCATGTTTTGTCAAAACAAAATCGAGAAATAAAAAAATTACCAAAATTTAAAAAGGCAAATGTCATTGAAGATAAAGGTATTTTATTAAAAACAGATAAAGGTACTTATCATAAAAGTATTGTTAGAAAGCCAAAAAATAATTTAGAAAAATTGTTACAGGATATCGACGAAAATGAAATTCATTTTGATAACGACGCTGTTCCAAGTACAAATTCTACAAGTAATTTATGTATACCAAATACATAGTACATCTGATATACAGATCACTCCGATCGAAAATTTTCTTCTTCCTATTCAGTTAGGAAACGCTAAACTTACATATAACAAACATACGTTTTTACATTATTTAGATTTAGAAGAAGTAGTTAAACAAGTTAATAATTTAGTTAATCATTTTGAAACAACAAAACATAGTATAGTTCATGTTAATGCTAGTAATCCCATATCTTATCATAGCTTATCACAAAATATGTTAACAAGAACAGAATATTTAATAATTACTGTTCAGAAAAAGATTAATAATTTAATCCCTCATGTAAGATATAAAAGAGCTCTAATAAATGCAATTGGAAAAATTAACAAATGGCTATTTGGAAATCTTGATTCTGATAACGAAGAAAGATATAATAATGCTATTAAAACATTGCAAGAAAATCAAAAAAATATTATCAGTGAAACAAATCTTCAAATTTCGTTGTACAAAAGACTTGTTGATCATTATAATAAATCAATCACAATATTAAGCAAAAATCAAGAAAAATTTAAAGTTGATATGGAAAAAATTCAAGCAACTATTTATAACAGAATTAATACACTTGAAAGTTATATTAGTTTTCAGGCCATTATATCACAAATTGATTTAGATTGTCAAATGGCAATTTCTTTTATCGATAATTTAGAAAATACCTTTGCAAAATTAAATACTTTACATAATTCTATAGTTTCCAGCTCAGACATTAAAGACATGATAAAATATTTACATAAAATATATAATGTTGATCAAATTCCGAAATTTACAAATTTATTAACGTATTATCAGTTCTTAGGAACGCAAGTATCAATTTCAGAGTCCAAGTTAATTTTTGCAATACATTTTCCTATTTTTGAAAGTAATACCTTTGAATTTTATCATTTATTTCCAATTATCCAAAACCAAAAAATGTATACACCTTTATTTCCCTATTTGGCACGAAAACATCAAGAAACACAGTTTGAACGAGAAGAATGTCCATCTCTTGAAGAAATTTATTATTGTCAACAGAATGTCATCCCCAGAGATAATTATACTCTCCAACTTCTTGAAGGAAGAACTTTGACAAATTGTTATATTTTAAATGTTAATTTAGAAGAATCAGTATTCGAACAAATCGCAGTAGATGAAGTCCTAATAATCCCGTCAAAACCTGAACAAATTCTTGCAAAATGTAACAGTAACCAGTATATAGACATAAGATTACCTGTATTAATCAAGATACCAAAATCTTGTGAAATTTGGGCAAAGGAAAGAAGATACACCAACAATATTCAACTTAGCAGAGGAAAGCCATTCATTTTACCGAAGATCGACATGAAGAAAATCCAAACTTCAAAATCTTATCAAACTTCTAATATAACTAAATGAGATTTTAATGATTTATATGAAATTAATCAAATTTCTAAACAATTAAAGCCAATTTAAGAAATTCAAAATAATTTTAATTATTCAAGCACTTTTGGAATAATTTTTGTAATTTTTATTTGCATAATTATTTTAATATTAATTAAATACAGAAGACAATTTTTAAGAAGATTTAGAAGAAAGAAGAAAGAAAACGAAGAAATTGAATTAGAAAATCCTACAGAAGATGTTTTGAAAAATAGCTCCATATTTTTCAATACTTAAGGAGGGAGGAGTTATATATTGAGAATATAATAGACTCTTTTATATATTATCTTTGATTAATAATCAGTTTTACTTTATAAATAGGAGTAGAACCTAATTATTGTTGTTATTTTGAACTAGTTAGTTATTTGAGTTAGTTATTCGAAGTAGCTTTAGTTCAGATATCCATTTAAGTGTATTTTATACTTAATAAAAATTTTAAAAATAAAAGTTCCATTTTGGAATTTATAACTCTGATTCAATTTTTCTAGGAATGTTTATGTTCTAAAAAATAGCTTTTATGCTTTAATTGATATTCGTTTGGTATTGTAGAAGATAAATATCATTGTATTCAAAGTAATAATTAAGTTAAAAAAATTAATATTCGTTATTCTCTATTTGTAAGTTTTAAAAATTATTCACGCTCTGAAATTTATAAAATATATCTTTTCTTGTTATTTTTATATACCTAACGCATTTTTTTGTTGCGCAAGTAACTTGAAATGGGAGTTATCAAAAACCCGTCAGTGTACTATTGCATATATGAGCTAATAGATGTCGTTAGCATAATTGTCACAGCTAAAGTTGATTACATTCACAGCTGACCAGTTTCTATTCTAGAATCTGAGGTTATATTGATATGTGCACTGATCGATTGTTACTCTTTTTTAAAAGTTGTATTAGCTATGTCGGAAAATAATTTGAATAATGTTTATCTTTTGGGTGCTTTACATAATAATTTGGTTTCACGCAAGCTGCCTAAAAACGGAGACGTTTTGAATTATTTTATGTTTAAGTATAAGGTTTTAAACAAAACAGTTCATTTATGTGCTACGGAGGTTATTGAAGAAGTTCAAAAAATTTGAAGTGTTATGGATTTTTACCACTGGTAAAAAATCAACATGCAATTACAAAAATGGAATCACTTTTTACAGAATGGAAAAATTTGGATAAAAGTCGACTTAAAAAACATTCGGAGTTTCATCTGTTGAAAATAAAAAAAATCACTGATAAATTAAATGAATTATTTGATGTAAGATTAAAAAAAGGTATATCTGATGACTCATGTCCTCAAGAACTTTTTTCGTTAGTAAGAAAAAGTAAAGGCCGATTGACACTTGTACCAGATGACATGGAAGTTGGTAGTTTCCCTCTAGAGCCAATAGAAAATGACATTAATGATATTGGTAATCATTATGAATTTCGTAAATGCTACCAAAACATTATTTTCTAATTTTTTCTCAAGTTTGCTATTTAAAAATCTAATCACATAATGCAATTTTTTTCAGCCTTAAGTCAAGAGTTGTCTGATACATCTATTTCTTTTGAAGAATTAAGTCGATCATCTAGTTCTAGTTCAAGAGCACCAAAACGAACAATATCCAACTTTGAAGATGAACTTCCACAAAGTTCAAGGGAGAATAAAATTGACATTATGACTCCTGAATTGTCATCAGCTTTAGACAGATCAAATGTCTCTAGCAGAAATGCTGCTTATATTGTAATCGCTGTCGCAAAAAGTTAGGGTCATGATCCTAAAAAAAATAATGTTAGCCATAGGTTAATACATAGAGATCGTAATAAGATGAGAAAAATGATGGCAATAGATATAAAAAAAATAATTCTGCTGTCAAAAATGTAATATTACACTGGGACGGTAAATTGCTCCCAGATTTTGGTGGAACTGAAAAAGTTGACAGGCTTCCAATAGTTTTATCAGGTCTAAATTATGAACAACTTCTAGCAGTCCCAAAAATTAAATAGTGGCACAGGATTCAATCAAGCTCAATCGATAGTCGTAGAGTTAAAGCGATGGGATATTGTTAATAATGTGAAAGGAATGCGCTTTGACACTGCCTATGTTAACTCAGGTGCTTAACATTTTTGCGCAGCTAGATACAAACTTTGTGCTCAAAATCAAAGATCATGCTTTTTTGTTATTGGTTGAGTCTTGTTTTTTGTATTTTTTTAGATTGATTATTATTGATTGTTATTAAAGGTGATGAGAACGGAGCAGCAGTACATATTGAGGAAGCTTTGAATCAAAAACTGCTCTGGTTTCCCTGTCGGCATCATATTTATGAGCTAGTCTTAAAAAGTGTTGCTGAAGTTGTCTGGCCTGTGTCTTGTGGTCCAAGTCCTGCAGTTTTCAATCGGTTCAAGCGAGAATGGTCCACAATCGATCAGTCGTAGTATGAAACAGAGATGGATGATCAAGAAGTCAAGCAAATCTTGTGTGACAAAAAGCAAGACATTTTGGAATTTATCCAATTTCAAAGGAAGGTAAACTTATATGACTAAATATTGCATTATTTTTATGCAATTATTATTAACAGATCGATGAAAATATTCTAATTATTTTAGGAATTCCAACCTAGAGGAGATTATAAAGAGCTCCTAGCTTTGGCCTATATATTTTTAGGGGAAATTCCACCTCAAGGTATTTCTTTCAAGACTCCATCATTATGCTCGATGGCTATCAAAAGCAATTTACTGCTTAAAAATTTATTTATTCAAAAGTCAATTTAAACTTGCCAAAGTTGAAATTCCCAAACTATCACAAGTTTGTATCTTTATCGTTGATGTTTATATTAAGGGTTGGTATAATGCACCAATCAGTAACTACGCTCCATATCAGGATTTCATGTTCTTGAAAAGTTTCATAGATTTTAAACACATAAATGTAAAATTCTCTAATGCTGCATCAACCAAATTTCTTAGACATCTCTGGTATTTGTCCGAAGATCTTGTGGCATTATCATTTTTCGATGAAAGAATCTCATCAGCCATTAAGGTAAAAATGGTTCAAGTCATGACAAGTCAACAACGTATGACAGAAAACACGAGGAAACTATGTTTAAAACAAGACGATTTAAAATCATTTATCTCGAAAGATATAAGTGATTTTGTTACTCAGAAGTCCATGATTTTATTTGAAAAGTTCGGTTTATCTACTAGTTTTCTTGATTTACCTGTAGATCAATGGGAATCCGATAACGACTACCAGGCTTCTTTAGAAATTGTTCGATCAATTAAGGTTGTTAATGATGTTGCCGAAAGAGCTGTAGCGTTGATTGATAAATATAATGATAGTCTCACCTATGATGAAGAACAAAGGCAGTTTTTATTACAAGTTGTAGCTGACCATCGTAAGAAATATCCCAATTGTAGTAAACAAAATTGATGTGCGTAACATGTTTTCTTAAGTCTAATAATTGTTTTTAAAATGATTAAAGTGATGGTCTTATCACTTTTATTGATAATACGAATAAAAATGTGCATATCATGATTATATTAATGTACTTTTAAAAGATGTAAGCTCTTGAAAACTAGTAAAAAATTAAAATAAATTTTTTTTTACAACAAATCATTTCTTGTTTTCAGTCAATTTTTTGATATATTTTACTCTCACAGACTATTTATTATTGTCAAAATAACCATGATTTTTTATACAATTGTGGAATTGTGAAACTTTTACTAAGAAAATTAATTTTACCAAGTGTTAAATCAATGGCAAGATTAAAATAAAATAATTTTTTTTTTTTTAAATTCATTATTCTAAAAATAGAGAATATTAATAGCTTGATAGTATTTGCTTTCATTAAAGTATGAAAACTATTTTTCCGCCTACCTCTATCCAAAGTATACATTTTCTGGCCTCATTGCAGGGAGCAAAGTCGTACTTTTCCTCCCTAGGGAGGAAAAGTACTTTTACTCCCTAGGGAGAAAAAGTAAAAGTGAATGTTCCTCAAAGAGATAGGTTGTTGTTTATTTTATTAAAGTGGACAAAATGAATGAAGAAAAAACAATAATAAAGAAGCAAATGGTGCTCAGTGGCAAGAGAAGCAACAAAATAAAAGATATCCAAATACGGTCATTAATAAAGCTAAAGTAAAAGGTTTAGAACATAAGAATCATAAGAAGAAACTAATAACATAAAAAGTAATAGGAGATGATTGCAGGTATATTTGCGTTGACTAATGTTAAATATTATTTTTTATTTACTGCTTTATTTTTTTTAGATGCACACGCCTAAAATGTTTTCAAAACGTTTCGATTGAAGAACGTGAACGCTGTTTTACCGAATTCTATAAAATGCATGACAAAAACGAACAAGACGCATACTTGGCTGGCCTAATAACAATCAATAATATAAACAGACACAGAAGACGGAATCGGGTAAACAATAAACCACATTGTGCTTCATATTCATACAAGGTGCGATGTTTTAATACAGAAAAGATGGTTTGTGTCAAAGCATTTGTCAGCATTCATGCAGTTACATTGCTCCGCCTAAAAATAATTGAGTTGTCACTAGTATAAAAAGGTTGTGTACCCAGAGATATGAGGGGCAGACATACTTGCCGCCCTGGAAACTATATCAAAGAAGCTACTATCCTCATTATCAATCCTATACGTACATTTTCTCCAATTCCGTCTCATTACTCATTGCGAAAAAATCCAAATCAGCTGTACCTACCATCCGAGTTAACAGTGAAAGATATTCACAAGACTTTTCTACAGGACTACTACCTTAAATTTCCATACATAATGTACTGGAAAATCTTTAAAACTAAATTTAATATTAAGTTTGGATATCCCCGTTCAGACACATGTGCAGAATGTGACAAATATCAACATACCTTGAACAATAAAAGTATTTCGGACGCCGATAAAGCTTCATGCAAAATGCAAAAAGAACTTTATTTAAGAAAAGCCGCAGCATTCATTAGCAAAAAACGTGCCTACAAAGAACAGGCTAGAGCAGGCGAAATTTCTTGTATTACTTTTGATTTTATGCAGAATTTACCACTGCCACACATTCCTTCCAATCCAGTATTTTTTGCAAGACAAATATAGTATTACGTGTTTGGAATCCACGATTTAGGCAGTAACAATGTATACTTACATAGAAGATATAGCAAAGAAAGGATCAATCGACGTTGCTTTTATGTTATTGAGCTACTTTAATATCAATGATATTTCTAAAAAATTGGTTTTGATTAGTGATGGCTGTCCGGGTCAGAACAAAAACTACACCATGTTGCATTTTTTATAGGTGTTAGTTCATGGTCTTAATCTGTTTGATTTTATAACTTACCTGTTCCCTGTAAGAGGTTATTCTTATCTTCCTAATGACCAGGATTTTTCCCTTATTTTAAGAAAAAAGCAAAAAATGGAAAGAGTTGAATCTCCAGAGGGGTGGAATAATGTTATTTTACAATCACGAAGTAAACCGTCACCTTTTAGAGTTGTCAAAGTCGACAAATTCATCATTTTTTGACATACAAAGTGCAACTGACAAATTTTTTTTAAAACATCCAAAACCAGCAATTAACATAAAAAATGTAAGAATGTTCCGAATTGAAGATACCAATCGTTGTGTACTCTTAAAAGATAGCTACACTGGTGCATGGCGGTCATCGCTTGTAGCTTCAAGAATATCCTTGCAAAAAGAAATAAATTTAAAACATGCATACATTCTGCCAATTCCAATGAAAAAAACCAAACTGGATTATCTGGAAAACCTTCTGCCTCTTCTACATAACCACAGCAACAAAAAAAATGTTTAATGACTTGAATAAAAACCAGAAGAGCAAAGAACTTGACACCGCTGCTATAAATAATACTATCGACAATGATGATAATAGCAGTGGCTGTGAATACTACTAAATTACAGTTTATTGTTTATTTAGAAGCTTATATGGTTAGTTATAGTGGGTAATTTACTTTTTATTTTTGATAAGAACATATTTCGTAAATTTTTTCTTTAAAAACTTCATAGGTCCATGTATTTTTTTCTTTTTCTCATATTGTTGTGAAAATAAAAATAGCAGAATGTTTTGGAAAATGTTGCTTATATTTGTTTACACCTACTAAGTAGTAAAATAAAGCTATTTAATAAAACGTGAAGAACCAGGAGGATTTTTATTGTTTTCCCAAAATTATTAGTTTTGAACAAATGAGGTTTTTCCGAACAACGCCTTAATTGAAAGATTTTATTTTTTTAACGTCAACGTATTTTTGCTGATTTTTTAACTCCTGTCAAAAATGTTGTATTGTATGTTTCGCTGTTTCTTTTACAAATAAAAATGAACTAACAGGAGTTTCTTTATATATATAGAGAGGACGGAACGCATACTCTCTACAGGCAAACCTTAAAGTTCCTAACTTTATAAAATATATCTAAATGTACATACCTTTTGTCAGGTAAAGCAAAGGCAATCTTTTTCTTTACATCAAATTCAAATATTATGGTTGATCGGAGCTGCTTTATCCATTTTCCGATCATCATTTGTAAAATGACAATTGCAAAACAATTGATGTTTCTCTATCTTGTCTCCTGTAACCAAAGTTTCCTTACTTATTCAGCGAAGTAATTATCTTATCAAAATATCTTTTCTGTCTTTTTAATAGGTTTTGTTAACAAATTTTGCATAGTACTTTGCATGGTAGAATCTACAAACGGAAAATTATGTAATGTACCACAGAAATAAAAGGAATAGTAATGTGAAACTAGCAATA